TATACACCTAGACATTTAGAAGGCTCATTCTTAATCCTATTGATCTTAAAGTTATGCTTATTTCCTAGAATATAAATATCCTTTTGGTCTAACCAGTTGGTGACCTGGCCTTTTTTGTTTTGTTTTATTTTGTTTTTTGCCATCTTCTGTTTGTATACTTTTAAAATTTTTAACTTAAATTGTCTTTGGTGTTCTAGTGTGTGCTAAAACTAAAATGCTGTCCAACATAACCTGTGTTTTAGAGCATTTAAAGAGTAATACATATTTGTAATGAGATGAAATGAAAATAGTATAGGAGGGTATATGGTAAAAAGTGAAACCCTCCTAAGTTTCTGGTAACTTGAAGGGAAATTTGGTAAAATCTGTCCATTAAACTTGAAGATGTGAAACCTTTGCAACAGTTCCTTTTCTTGGTTTTTTGAGGAACATGTACAAGGTAGCTCATGCAGAGATACTGGTGGTTGTACCATTTTTAATTACCCATTTTTTGTATAATAATTTAAATATACTGATATATCCATGGCCTTCTATTCAGAACTTGAAACAAGTAAATTTCTATGTGCTGATACAGAAAAGTCTTCAAGATCTATCATCATTAACTAAATCAAGCATATTGTGAGACAGTCCATATTACATACCATTTATATATTTTTAACACACCCAAAAAATATGTTTGTGTGACTCTATAGGAATTCTAGAAAAAGAGCAGTTTGTCTTTTTCTTCTCTCCTAGCTCACAATATGAGCTAACCATCTCTCTTAGCTTTCCACACGTGTGGTCAGATACCACCGTGTTCTTCCTAACGGACATAACCCTATGCCATTGCTGGCAGTGTGGTTTATTTAAGCTGCCTGCTAGGTGGGAAATTGGTTGTTTTCAGCTTTCTGTTTGTATTAACTGTGGTTCAGTTAACATTGGTATGCCCAGTTTCCTTTATATTTGTGTGAATACGAATTTGTGGTGGCCGTGATGACTTGCTGCAGAGAGCACTTCCACTTGCCCTCAGAGCTCAGGCTTTAATGAAAAGAGGGATTGGGGCACCTGGGTGGCTCAGATGGGGGTCCGACTCTAGATTTTGGCTCAGGTCATGATCTCAGGGTCGTGGGATCGAGCCCTACATCAGACTCCGAGTTCAGTGGGGAGCCTGCTTGAGGATTCTCTTTTTCCCTCTCCCTGCTCACATTCTCTCTCTCTCGGTCCCTCCCCACCCTTCTCTTTGGGGTAAATAAATAAATCGTTAAAAAAAGAAGAAAGAAAAGAGAGATTAGGAGGATTTTTTGTTTTATTTAGGTTTCTTAGAGACTCAGTTTGAGTTTGTCCACGCGCGTTACTGATTAGTTATCTTTTAAGTGACGTGGGTAGAGTCATTTCCCCAAAACCATGCTACTTATGAGCAGCCATCGGCCCTGCTCTGCTGGTGGATTAATTGACTCATGTTCCTGCATGCTGTGGCTTGTTGGGGACATGTGCTTCCTCAGAGATGTGCAGTTGCATTTGCTTCTGCTGTAGGACAAGTGTTCTCCTTGTTGCTTGCAACTCCGCTTTTCCTCAGAGGCAAATTATTAACAAATGGCTGTCTGAGAGCTGATTCAAGAGTCTACCAGTCAGTCTACCAGCCGATTCAACAACCTACCCCATCAGTCTTTTTCTGGTCTTTTCTCTGTTCTGTGTGTGAAAGTGCCCAGTGTTCTCTCCTTAGCAGTCTTGAACTTACTTCTCTCTTGCCGGTACACAACACAGTTTTGCCTCCTTCACTCTTCCATGGGCAGTTTTTTGTTCGAATGCACACTTCACTTCTTTTAGTATGTGTCCCTGTTTGATAGCCTCAAGCGGTTTTTTGTGTACCTTCGACTTGAGGGTCCATACATGTCAGGCTCTGAGGTGGGCACATGAGAAGTACAGAAGCAGATTTTCCATAAATAGTAGCTGCTCGTGCTGAGCACTTGCTTCCCATGTCTCATTCAGTCTTCACGTCGACCTTAGAAAGTAGGTGGTATTATTTATTCCCCATTTTAAATATGAGAAAATGGATACAAACTGAGCTGCAGAGAGATCAGATTGACTTTTCTCTGAGGCACAGTTATGGAGCTAGTGGTAAAGCCAGCCAAGTCAGTCTGTCCCAGAGTCTGTTTTCCACTGGGGTCCCAAGCTAATGGGGAGGGGAAATTTGCAGTCCCCTTGCCTAGCTGGGAGGGTTTGCTAATGAAGCAAGAGTTGGGGCCAACCTTCAGCATCATTTCTTTATTACTGTGGGAGCCATAACTGGGTTGACTGTATCTTAATCCCCATAAGCACGTGCATTAGTGTCCTGTAGGTGCTGTAACAAATTACAGTTGACCCTTATACAACATGGGGTTAGGGGTGCTGACCCCTGTTCAGTTGAAAATCCATGTATAACTTTGGACCTCCCCAAAACTTAACTAATAGCCTACTGTTGACCAGAAGCCTTACTGATAACATAGTCGATTAACACATATTTTATCTTGTTATATGCGTCATGTCCTATATTCTTATGATAACGTATGCTACAGAAAAGAAGGTGTTATTAAGAAAATCATAAGCGGGGCACCTGGGTGGCTCAGTCGTTAAGTGTCTGCCTTCGGCTCAGGTCATGATCCCAGGGTCCTGGGATTGAGCCCCGCGTTGGGCTCCCTGCTCAGCGGGAAGCCTGTTTCTCCCTCTCCCACTCCCCCTGCTTGTGTTCCCTCTCTTGCTGTCTCTCTCTGTCAAATAAATAAATAAAATCTTAAAAAAAAAATCATAAGGAAGAGAAAATACATTTACATACTATACTGTATTTACGGGAAAAAATGTGCTCCATCCCCCCCCCCATTGTAAATCCTATGGCTCTTGGTCAGAATTTCATTCTGCATTAGTCATGCCTTATCATTTTATGCTGGACAGGAGTATTGCTGTTTATAGTGATTTTAGCCCTGAAACCATTAGAATGTTGGTATTAGAGTCTTCATTTCTTCCTCAGGGCTCCGCCCTTCACTTGCCCCTACAAGGCTGAGTGCACTGAGACCCCGCCTCAGCCATAGCTTCTCCTTGGTGCCAGGTCCTTGTTTGTCACTAGCTCCCGACCTTGCTTCTGAGCTGCCGGCAGCTGTCTGGACATCTTGGTTGGCTTCATCCTCCCGATGCCTGTACAAATGGGTGGATGAACTACACTTTATGATTGGAAATAGACAATCGAACAGATATGGCAGTTTCCTCTAAGCCCTGTAGTTAGTAGTTAAAGAGAAAAATGTAAAATGTTCCACCTGACAGAGGGGATGAACTGTAGTAGTAAGTATTGAGTGTATGTGACATAACATAAAGCATAACACGTTTTGTCTTAAGGTAGACGTTCAGAACAAAGAGGAGCGATTAGGCAAAGAAGGGGTAGAAAGAGAAGAGAGAGGGATAGAGTTAGGTAAGGTGGGGGTGTTGCGTGGACATTTATGGGGGTATAGCTGCTGGAGGTTTTTGTGACCCTGGTTTCGTATACTTCATCATGGTGGTAAATGGGGAAATAGCTAATACTTGACTCATGGAAGGCTGAGACTAAGCCAGAGCTGGAGTACGTGGCCCCATTTTATTGGTTAGTTTTACAAACAGAGGAAAGCCTCTGTTTCTGTGGGCTAGGACGGCCATTTGACCTGTTCTTCAACCCCATCTGGAATTGCTTGGGGGTTAACTTGGCCTTCCCCCAAAACACATATGACAGAGGGCTGGGAGGAGTCCGGGCTAGGTTTTCATCCCTGCAGGGCACTGAGACCTCATTATGAAGCCAGGTGGCTTTGGTGCCAGATAAGTGTCACTGTTTAGTATGTGACAGGATGGAAGGGACAGGTGAATTTTGGTAGGTGGGCGCGCCAGCTGTATAAATCCAACCAGTGTATTTCTCCATGGTGTTCCCTTCCCTCCCGCTCCCTAAAGCAGACATGAAGTGGCCCACCTTCCCCTGCTTTCCCTTGGGCTGTCCCTTGCCGGCCCTCCCCGCCATAGGAAAGATGAAGACTCTCTTTCCTGTATTACTCATGAGTTCAAGTTGAGAACAATATAAAGGACACAGAAAGTACTTTATTCTGAAAACTTTGGGTGAAAAATTGCAGGGTGACTTGGCTCTGGGTTAATTTTAGCCTTTCTTTTGTGGATTCAAAAATGTTCTACCAGGAGTTGAACTAAGGTTTTAGAACTAATTACGGTGGGTAGAGGAACAAGCTAGATGAGGGGGCAGTGAGAGTCCCACAAGTGGGGCAGGACAAAGGGCTGCTTTCTTCAGTGGGCCAAAGGCATGAAAAAATACGGTCGGGGGTGGAAGGCGGGAATTAGCCTCATTTAGAGACAGGCCAATCAAATATAAGGTTAGGACCTTGTTTGGAGCTTGAAACTAAAAAAGCATTAGTTAAAAAATAAAAGATAAGTAAAAAAAAAAATAGGACATTTTTGAGGACATCAGGGAAATTTGCATCTGGTCTGTGTATTAGTTGGTATGGAGGAATTGATATTTATCAAATGTCATCATGACATTACAGTGAAAAATCCACATATTTTGGTCCATCTGAAGTTGGGGTGAAACGACGAAGTCTGAGATTTGCAACCATGGAAAAACTAACAGATGAAGCAAGTTTGACAAAGTTTGAATTGTTGAATCTAGATAATGGACATATATGGGGTTCACTGTACAACCCCTCTATGTCTACAATGATTGAGAATTCTGTAGTGAGCTCTTAAGGGTTTTACCCAGCCTCCTGAGCCCAAAGTTGAGTTGTACCTACAATCCACTGTGGTTGTTCTGTCAGTCACCAGACCACAAACACCAACCCAGAGCCAGATACTGTCCTGAAGCAGCTTTTCAACAGTTGCCTTCAGCTTATCCAGAGCTATCGGTTCTGGAGTGAGAACCAAGGTGTTGACCTAGATACCATGGATTCACCAGCCCCCAGAGGATGGAGTGAGGGATTTTAAAAAAAAAACAAAAACAAACAAACAAACCTTTTCACTTTATTTTGTAGGACCACCAAAAGGCCTCAGACCTTCTATGATGGAAGTCATTCCAGTACCAGAGGAGTATGCCATATTCCCATGGCTGAGCCGTTCTGCCCCAAAACGAGAGAGGTTCGTAGTCTTTCTGGAAGGTGCGCCAAAATAAGTCATAAGGGCTTGGGGTGGCATTTAGAATTCGATTAATTGGCTAAGCAGGTAGTCCCTCTTTCCCTCTCCAGTGTGCTTCTTCTGCAAGGTTTCTAGAAGACTTTCCCTTTGTTAGCACTGCCTCCACTACTCTCAGTCATCGATAAGCTGAGTCACTCAGAGTTGCAACCTACCTTTTTTATAGGTTTTGATTTTTCTGTCAGAATACCTTTTAAATCATTTAGCATATTAATCCACAGTGTACAGTCTGGAAAAAGATTACTTGGGATCAGATCTCTGCGCTCATGCTTAATAGTTGTGTCTTGTTGGACAAGTTACCTAATGCCCTTGGGCCTCAGTTTTCTCATTTGGAAAATGAAGGTAATGGTACACGTATCTCACAGCACTGTGTGAAGGATAAATGAGTGAGTCATTATTTATATAGTGCTTTGAGCTATGCCTATTAGTTATGAGATACCCAACAACTGCTTTTATGAATTCAGTTTTTGATCATCTATAAATTGTCAGATTGGCATCATTGGCCTTTGAGGCGAGTTTGGCTATTACTTTCCAGCCTCCTTTCCAGGATTACAGTAAAATCTTAGAACTAAGTGGGTAGCCCTTTAGTGGAAGTACATAAGCATTTTACTCATTCAGATATCAACACCTGCATATGGAAAGTAGATTTATTGCAGCTTTTATGTTCAGCCCTGTGTAATTGTATAAAAGTAGTTTCCTTATAGTTTACAGCAAGGGCTCCTTAACCTCACGGTGGTCTTAAACAAAAGTCTAGAATCTGAAGCTAGGAGTCAGGGGGAACCATTTCAGATATACCACTGCTTGTTGATTCTCTCTGGTTTGTGTGAAAATACACTTTTTATTTGTTTAAAAAAATGGCAGGTTAAGTGTGTATTTGGGTATTTGGGATATGTATGTTTCCAAGTAGTTATCAGCAGAATATATCAAAACGTTGCTGCTAGTCTTCTCTCTGAAATGCAGATCTGTCCACGTAATAAATTTGCTTTCCAGGGGTATTTAGGTATGTATAAGATTCTTGTCCATTTCAAAATGGGGAGAGCTTGGGAAGAAATAGACCAGGGAGAGAATAGGCCTGAGGTCGTGTCTCACAGAAAACACTGAATTCAGGTACTAGCAGCAGAGGTAGGGTAGGGGAAATAAATACTAATGAACTAATGATGTATACAGAATAGATGCAAATGTGGTGGCTTGGCGATCAGCAGTTGGAGACCGTTTCCCATAACAGAGTTTAGCCTCCCTTGAGCCAACATTAACTCAGCTATTCTTGGCCTAGCCAAGCCAGTGAACCCCTCCCTGCCCCATGTAAGACTAAAAGAATGCTAGGAAAGGCGGTTTAAGAAAATGGGAAATGGGGCGCCTGGGTGGCTCAGTCATTAAGCATCTGCCTTCAGCTCGGGTCATGATCTCAGGGTCCTGGGATCGAGCCCCTCATCGGGCTCCCTGCTCAGCGGGGAGCCTGCTTCTCCCTCTGCCTCTCCTGCTCCCCCTGCTTGTGCTCTCTCTCTCTCTCTCTCTCCCTCTGTGTCAAATAAATAAATAATTAAAAAAAAAAAAGGAAAGTGGGAAAAATAAGCCTTCAGAATATAACTTTATTCCTACATACTCTGAAAGAGATTTGTAAATATTGTCCAGAAATGTGGAGTAGATGGTGCTGCCCCTTGGCAATTATCACTTTAACTTAAAACATTCACATGACCTTTCATGTATGGATGAGGAAGGATTGTCAAAGTGAATTGTCAAGTGGCGAACAAGATTTCCGCCACTTGTGTTACATATAAAGAGGTAAATATGACAATATTTACCTGCAGATAGAGTGTTTTTAAAAAATTGACCCAAAGAGGGGTGCCTGGGTGGCTCAGTTGGTTAAGCATCTGCCTTTGGCTCAGGTCATGATCCCAGGATCCTGGGATCGAGCCCTCCATCAGGCTCCCTGCTCAGGGGAGAGCCTTCTTCTCCCTCTCCCTCTGCCTGCCGCTCCCCCTGCTTGTGCTCTCTCTCTCGCTATCTCTCTCTCTGTGTCAAATAAATAAAAATAAATAAAATCTTTAGAAAATTGACCCAAAGAAACTGGTGATCTCCCTTGGGGAGGTGAACTGGTTCGCTAGAACATGGGTAGAGAAAACATTTGTCACATATGTGGGGTTAATATTTTGTCCCATGTCACTTCTACTCCCAGAATATTTTCACCTCTAGTCATTTTAGGAGGTAATCGGAAGCACTGTCTTTCAAAGTCTAGACACATAAAATATATTTAGCTTGGTGATCTAATATTGCTAATACATTTGAAGGATGGTAGTAGATTCAGGAGTTCCATTATCATTGCTCAGAACATGCAAATGAAAGCATCTTTGCCTCAGACCCAGAGATCTCTCAGCCTGTGGTTTGTGTTGCTGGTACATATGTTGGAGTTGTCCGTTCTTGTGGTTGTAGGGGTGCAAAGTGCTGGTTCAAGTGACTGAGACCCCAGGGTCTGTCTCTGTGGCTGGTCCACATCCATAATCCTTCACTTCCTCCTCCTCACCGTCATGGCACCCCCCTCCCGGGGTGACGTGAGAACTTAACATGCCGCAGTCCAGTGTACAAGGTAGTTATGATATTCCTCCAGTCATTTCTGGAAATACTGAAGTTTGGCCAAGATATACAGCTTGGTTATTCAGGACTTTAAAAGACATTTAATGAAGATGGGACTGGGCTGGCTATATTTTAATTTGGGGGTGGGGGAGGTAGAGGTGAAGGAAGAGTGATTTAGGCCCTCGAATGTTTAACCTGTACTCGAGGGGAAAGTTTTTATTAAGCATAATCTTATTTTCAACATATATAGTATAAACAAACATGATATAATATCAACTATTCATTGTGACTTGTCACGCTTCTAAATTTGGTGTTGCCAAGGCTCTTATTAAAATTCTTTCTCCCATTGCTATAGCATAATGAAAATTATTTTTAAAGAAACAGGTTAATTTGCTTATGTGGTGCCAGCATGTGCAGGCTAGACTTTGGCCTGAATCGGAGCCTTTATTGACACTGAGTCACACCATTTTATATATAAAGCACCCCAGGAGTCTGTGCCAGTTATTTGGCAAACAAGGGTAGAAGGTGCCAGTGTTAGTAATTGTTAGAAGACTGATTTAGCTTGTATCCAGTGTTTAAAATGTGCCCGACACAATTCTGTGCTGTATTATTCCTTAGCTCATTTAATCCTCACAGTACTTCTGCAATACAATCTCATTATTCCCATTTTACAGATGAGAAAATGAAAACATACAAAGATTAAGTGAAGTTTTGGCAGTGCTTACGTGGGTTAACAGTTAATTTTTTTTTAATTAAAAAGGAATGTTGAAACACAGGCTAGAAATTAATAACTTGAGGATTAGATGTGTGTTATTAATTAGTCACTGGAAAAAGTGATCAAACTTTTAAATAATGTTTTTAAAACCCATGCGTGGCCTTGCCATTAAAGTAAGATGCCATGATAAGTTTATCCCTAGAGAGAAAAAACCAGCACATCCCCGTTCTGGTTTTGTTTTTGGGAGAGACAACAGGCAAAAGAGATTACGTTATGAAGAAATCACTTTCTTTTTTTTGGAGGTGGGGAGAGGGAGAGAGAATCTTAAGCAGGCTCCACACCCAGTTCGGAGCCAGCCACAGGGCTCGGTCTCATAACCCTGAGGTCATGACCTGAGCCGAAATTACGAGTTAGACGCTTAACCAGCTGAGCCACCCAGGTACCCCAGAAATCATTTTCTAACCAAAAAAAGCTTCTCTAAAAGTCTTCAGATTTTGTGTGAAAGAGCTTGGAAACCGTTCTCAGCATGTCTTTGAGGAGATGTGAATAGGATCGGCACCTTAGCTCACCCTGGTGAAGGGCTCAGACTCAAGTCCATGTGCACAACCCAGCTTAAGTCTTCTTCAAGCTGTTAAGAAATAAGTGAAATTAATATAAACAAATGCCTGGTGTAGAGAAAAAGCTCACTGTTCGCTCTGGTAGCTGTAAGCTGTGTGCAAGGGGCTGGGGGAACAGGGTTATGTGAGGGGGTTCGGATCTAGATCTTCCAGGCTCTGTCTGAGGGCCTGCAGGTACTAGCCATTTGTAGTAAAAATCTTGAAGTAATTAACTTGTCAAACATCAGGGAAAAAAAAAAACAAAATAGTAAGCTGTTAACTTATGTTTGTATTTTCTGAGTGTGTGGTTCTTTGTTTTCTAGGTCCTCATAGAGACTGCTAAAAAGTTAGGACTCCGGTGCCACTCAAAAGGCACAATGGTCACAATCGAGGGACCTCGTTTTAGCTCCCGGGCAGAAAGCTTTATGTTTCGCACTTGGGGGGCAGATGTTATCAACATGACCACAGTTCCAGAGGTGGTTCTCGCTAAGGAGGCTGGGATTTGCTATGCAAGTATCGCCATGGCAACAGATTATGACTGCTGGAAGGAGCATGAGGAAGCGGTAGGTGGAATTCTCTTCCCAACATGTAAGTCCCCGTGGGAGCCTTTGAGAGAGTGTCTTCACCAGTTGTTCTACTGTATTCCTTCCGGAAAGTGCCTTTCTGCCAGGTTTTAAAGTCAGTTCTGTATGTGGTCAGGTATTTTCTTTATAGTTCTTGTTGGAAGATACAAAGATCTCCACAGAGAAGGAAAAAGACACTTTTATCCACGGATAAACAGTACATTGTGGACATGTAGGTGTGGTGGGAATCATATTGAGACTTGGGCCTTATTTTAAGGATGAAAGTCTGTTTTGGTTCTCATTTTCTTATCCTGTGCTACTGGTTATTATGTGTGTTTTCAAAGGGAAAACTCTGTTACCTCTGCCTGGTAAGAGGCCTCTGCATTCATACCTGTCTGTTGAACCTACCATGACTGCATGCTGTTGGTGTAGGAATATGACAGCCGACAGACAAGCCTGTGAGGAACGTGAATATTATGAGGCTTTTGGGGGGGGGGTTGGGGGGGAAGTGCAGAGAATAAGTCAACCAGTGTAAGAAAGCTCAGGGTTATAAAGAGATAGTGTGGTGAGAAGCACATATCCAGTTGGCTCAACCCAACATTTGAAGTCTGGGAGGCCTTTCCAGTGGAAGGGTGGTGGGAAAAACAGGCACGCTTGGGGGCAGTGGAGGGAGGGAGGGAGGCAGCACCGTGTAGACTATGTAAGTATTTCAGAGGGGAGGTCAGTGAGGGGTGCTGGGCAGGAAGGATAGGGAGGTCCAGCTGGTATGGGAAGACACTGGACCAATTCAGTCAGGCTTCCGCAGTAAATATGCTCACTGTGGAAAACTTCAAACATCGGCAAAAGGAGAGAAGCTAGTATAATGAACCCCCAGTTACTCATCATGTAGCTTTACCAGCCACAGCCAGTCTTGTGTCCTATGTATGCTCCTACTCACTTCCCTCTCCCCTGCCCTCATTATCTTGAAGTAAATATTTTTCCAAAAGTCCTTTTTTTAAAAAAAATAAAATAATAGGCGCCTGGGTGGCTCAGTTGTTAAGCATATGCCTTCGGCTCAGGTCATGATCCCAGGGTCCTGGGATTGAGCCCCGCATCGGGCTCCCTGCTCAGCAGGAAGCCTGCTTCTCCCTCTCCCACTCCCCCTGCTTGTGTTCCCTCTCTCGCTGTGTCTCTCTCTGTCAAACAAATAAATAAAATCTTTAAAAAATAAATAAAATAAAATAATAATAACAAAATAACTACAATACCACTATTGTACCAAAAAATATTAATTCCTTAACATAACCAAATATCCAGACTGTTTACATTTTCCTTCTTGTCTCATATAACCATTCAAATCAGGGTCCCTTATAATCCACATATTGCATTTAAATGATCTGCCTCTTAAATCTCTTTTAATCTAATATTCCCCCGTCTTTTCACTCCTGGCATTTCACTTGAAGAAACTGGATCCTTTGTCTTATCCCCTGTCTCATTTTAAAATAGAGAAAGGGTAGGGGGGCACCTGGGTGATTCAGTTGGTTGAGCATCTGACTCTTAATTTCGGCTCAGGTCATGATCTCAGGATCGTGGGATCAAGCCCCATGTCAGGCTCACCGTTCAGCATGGAGTCTGCTAGAGATTCTCTCTCTCCCTCGCCCTCTCCCCTGCCCTCTGCTCGTGTGCACACTCTCTCTCTTTCTCTCTCTCAAATAAATAAAAATCTTTAAAATAGAGAAAGGGACAAAATTACAGTCACAGGGTTTTAAAGTGAACAAGTGCAGGGGTGGCTGTTGAGAGCACATTTATGGGAGGTGACCTCTTCTCCAAGATGACCCTTCCCACCATCTGAGAGCTGCTTGTTGTGCTGTCCATTTTCATGTAAAACAGTAAGGTACCCTTGCTGTCAGTCCATCTGTGTATATGGAGTTTGGGTTGTACTTGAACATAGGTTCTTTGTTTTGTGTGAGTACCTTGTCCCGACTCCTCAGTGTAATAAACCGTTGCTAACTACTAGGATATTTTGTGTGCAAGAAACTTCCAGATTTCTGACACAGCATAATCTCTGACTTGGCAGCTCTGGTCACCTAAGGAACAGCAGCCTCCAGTTAGCCTCCAGTTAGCAGGAGGCTCTGGTCACCTAAGGAACAGCTCAGCCTCATGGTGATGAGAAGCAGCCTCCAGTTAGCAGGAGGCTCCAGTCTCTACCGCTCCCTGAGAGCAGGTTGCTTCCTGCCTGTGGCTTTCTGCTCAGTCTAGTAACATCTGTCTCCCCTGCAGAGCATGTGGTGCTTTCCTGTACTACATGAGGTTTGGAAAGCAGGCAGTTAGAGCCCCTTGAGTTGAAAGCAGAGACACTAAGCTGTGTGTAAATGGTAAGGCATGAAGGCAGATAATGCTAAATGCCACAAGAAAAGCACAGGCAAAAATCGCATCCTCAGCCAGCCGTGTGTGTCACCGTGCTTTAAACCAGATGTGCAGTGTGGCACGGTACAAAGATTTTCGAGTTGCCTACACCCACCTTCAAGTTCCTGTTACTCCACTTACTTGTAACACTGGGCAAGTTCATTGATCCATTTACTCTTCTGTGGGATGGAGCCAGAGGTGAGGGGTGGAGGTTGTTTATTTACAGTCTGAGCTTGCAGGATTTCTGGGAGAATGAAACCAGATTAGATGCGTAGAGCAGCCCCTATACAGCTGGCTCCTGAGAAGGCGGTCATCACGTGCCAGCTATGATGCAGGGGGGTGGTGCAGAAATGTTTGAGAAGAAAACTGGACATTTGAACTGGGCATTCAACAGAGGGTTAGATTTTACTGTGAGGAGGTTAGTAGAACAGGCATTTTGGGTGGAGCCCAACAGCAGGAACAAAGACGAGAAAAGAGCAATCAGAGTCTGTATAGAAATATCAGCCAAAGGAAGGTTAAGTGTCTGCCTTCAGCTCGGCTCATGATCTCAGGGTCCCCAGATCGAGTCCCACATTGGGCTTCCTGCTCAGCGGGGAGTCTGCTTCTTCCTCTCCTTCTACCCCTCCCCCCCACTCGTGCTCTCTCTCTTGCTCTCAAATAAAATCTTTAAAAAAAAGAAAAGAAATATCAGTCAAAGGAAAAGTGTAAGGAAAAAAAGTAAATATAAGGTAAATTTCTTGGATGCTTCATGAGCCTGCATTGGAAGACTGCTTAAAGCATGCCTCTGCGTGTACCTGCGAGCACCCAGCTGGTCACTGCAGGGTGTTCCCACAGTAATGGGACTCCCATCTGCTACAGTGCTCATCAGTTTTTTCTAAACACACCTCAGTGTTTGTGGGACGGATCTGGACTTTATATAAACTCCAGGAAATAGAAAGAAAGGTGTAATCTTTATGCCCCTGAACCTCAGATACCCTCTAAGTATAGGTGAGGTGTGACAAGTACTCCACCTCTGATCATCCATTTTACATTCACAACTTTTTTTTCAACTTCCTTATGGAGCAATTTCAGTTATATACAAAAGTCAACAACAGTATGAGCTTTTGTAAATCAACATCCAGCTTCAACTATAAACATATCAGCTTAGGACCAGTTATATTTCATCTGGACTCTGATCCATGATTTTATCCATATCTAACATAACCCCATTATCACTGTCACATTCCAACAGTAATTCCTTAATATATTGAAGCACAGTTCATGTTTCTAGCTATCTCAAACATCACAATTTTTTACTTCCAAGTGTTCTGAAAAGAAACTAGGTCATCTGTCCTGTAGAGTTTCCTATAGGAAATTTTCTGGATCACTGAAATCATCTCCTTGGGGGTAGTTTGACAGATTTCTCTGTCCTCTGTATTTTCTGTAAACTGACAGCTGGTTCCAGAGAGTTGATCCAATTCAGATGTCAAAACCAGTGTTTAGTTCTCCTGTCAGGAAGCTCATTAAAGTGGATTGTTTGTTCGGTTTGGGATTTTTCTGTTGTTCTGTGATGTTAGCCACCCATCCATTAATTCACTGGGAGCTGTAGAAATGATGGTACTCTGATTCCAGCATTTCTCTTTATTAGCTTGAAGACTTCTCTGAAGAGCAATGTGCTTATCTTGTGATTGGTTAGCCAGTGTGGAAACAATTTTAAGACTGGAATCCATTTTACTGTGGACGTGAGGAGAATTAGCCACATCTTTCCAGACCATGCTAACACATTATACATCTGAGATAGTTTCCCAGACATTATATTGAAAACAGCAGTGCTTTTCAGAGATGTCATTGGGTTTCTCCAAGGCACAACCCCCCTGCCCCCACCCCGGGAACAAGCCTGCCTTGAAAAATGCAGAGCTGGTGCTCAGGGGATTGAAATTGGAGTAAACCGACTTTACAGATCAAGTAGGAGCTCAGGAAAATGTTCTGCGGAGAGCAGTGGGATTGTAAATTGCTAGTAACATCGTGTGCTGTTGTTTTTCTAGGTTTCAGTGGACCGGGTCTTAAAGACCCTGAAAGAAAATGCCAATAAAGCCAAAAGTTTACTCCTCACTACCATACCTCAGATAGGGTCCATGGAATGGTCAGAAACCCTCCATAACCTGAAGGTAGGTACCCTCAGCCATCTGCAAGCAGACACTTCCACAGACCATCAGCTGCCTTTTTCTCTTACTTGCATTTCATCCTTGGTCCAGCTCGTCGTGTATTTTATACTAGTCTCGAAGTTCTCTACAAGTTTTCATGCTCTTTACTACCATACTAACCATTGTGAAATTGAGTAGTTATATATTTTGGCAAGTAATGCAAGACTATTGAAAGTTCAGGTGGTGAGAGTTTTAGTATCTCGTCTGCCAGGCTCTTAACATTGTCATGCTTTGCAGGGTATCCCTAAGTCATACTTCAGAAGGTTGATAGTGCTTGTTCTGTACATGGCTTACATTGCTGACAAAGCGGTTTGCTCTTTGGCAGACCCAGGCAGAGTGTTGGCAACCTTTAAAGCCAGAACTCTAATAGCAATACCAAAACAGTGCCAAGGAATGTCTACTTAGTGTTGATGTTGTATCAGACTAAGACAGTGATTAATGATAAACATGGGATGGGTTGTAGACTGGTAGCTTTTCAACTCTAGTATTAATTCCCAGAATATAATTTAAACTGAGTGCTAAGCTCAGAGACGCATGATTTTTATTTGGACATTTTGTGACTCTCTTGATTAACCACACTGGATAAGGAGTTGCCAAAATCGATTGGATATTACATTCCCCTAGTATCCAGAGAAGGTGGCTAGCATGTCCTAAGGTCTAGCTCATACCTATACTCTTGGGTCTTATGACAAGTAGTAGAGAGAGGATTTGAAAAGTTGATAAAAGCCCTCCCTACCTGACCTGCTACCACTGAGGAGCTCTGGAATGAAAGCCACAATTTTAGTGTGATGAAGACACTGTGTGGTGGTCAATGATTGATAGCTGCTGGGCATTGAGGAGCCGTGATTTTAGTGGATACCGTGTGCATGGTGGAAGTGCTCCAACCCAGCCGGTTTCCAGCTATCAATACAACCCCTGAGAGACACATAGGGCCTGTTCTTGCAAGTAACAGGTTGTCTCTCAGCCCTGTGCACTGGCAAAGTCAGGAATATTGGAACTTGTATTCCATTTTTTTCCCACCAGACTTTAAGCCCATAAGGGACGGGAAACACATGTGTTGGTTTCAGCCTCTATACCTAGGAGCTAAATGTTCTTTAATGAGTAAATGATAGCCCCTCTTTCCCCCATGAAATGTTGCATCGTAATTGAAATACAGGCAAGCCTTTATTATAATTGTGAAGAAAGGGGAAACAAATTAATTCCTAAGAATTGAGGAAAGTCAGTTTCAAGTGGAAACCGTTACATTTGCTTGAATGCAGGGCAACAGGAATGGCAGGACATTAGCTTGTCTAAATAAGCACGCTGTTGATTATGGGAAATATGACTCATACTTCTGCTGCAGAGGCTAATGTCATCTGCAACATGTGATGGGTTGTTCTTTTGTTTTGGGTTTTTTTTTGTTTTTTGGGGTTTTTTTTAGGTTTTCCAACTGACCCCATTTTGACCATAGTCTTTTGAATTTGAAGATAATTTCTCAAGCAATAAATGTATTATTTCAGCTTCATTTTTAAGTAAAAAAAATGCTAGGATGGTAGAAATCCATGTTCTCCTTTCCTTCTGTGAAGTTTCTGGAAGTATGTAAAAATAGCATGCTTCTGTATGTATGCATTTTTAAAGAGGGTTAATATGTGTAGCTTTCCTCAGATTCTCAAAGAGATACATGATCTAAAGAAAGAAAATGAGGAATTGCTGCTCTAGATGATACTGAGATTCATGGCCTCCATTCTGTCACATTAAGGAACACCCTACTAATAACCCCTTATTCTGGGGTAGTGTGTTCAGTCCCCTCTACACTGAAATGTGTGTCTTCCATTCACTCATTCATTCCAGAAACACTTAGCATGCACTGTGTGGCCAGCTGTGGTTTACAAAGATAGATAAGACTTGCAGTGATGAATAAGATCCTATTAGGTTTAGAGATACTAACGTACTAAGATTTCAAGGATTTTTTTTTTCAGTGGGTTAAGGTGAATGACAGAGGTTGATTTACATTAATCCAGGCTGGAGGTTGGTGTATAAAACGTATCCTACTGGATGTGCAAGGGCTGGAGGTCCGGGAGAATCTGAACAGCCTTCTTGAGATAAGCACAAAGAAAGGAGAGAGAGGAACTAAGAGTTAGGGGCTATGTCACAAGTCTCACATCTGGTTGGTTCGTTTTAAGGTTTGGTGAACAGGAGAATTCCTGGGTAGTTTATTGAAAGTGTGTATACCGTGAGTCCTCAGTCTCTGAAATCAAAATCTGTTTTTTTACAATAAGTACTCCTGGTGATTATCCTGATCTTCAGAATCACTACCTATAGCAAGTGCTTGGTTAACTGTGCCTGTTTTCTTCCTTTTAGAATATGGCCCAGTTTTCTGTTTTATTACCAAGACATTAAACGAGCACGGCTGCCTAGGAGACAAGAAGACTTTCTAATTTCAGCCATTTGAGAAATTTCAGCTTAACTTGGAAAAAATATGGAAAAGACATGCAGCTCTCATGCCCTCACCTGTTAAGGAGAAGAACATGATAAGACAAGAAGACATGCACGTATCAGAGATGCCTTCTAGAAGGCTTAGACTGCTTCAGAAAATGACCAGTGAATATGTGGAAAAATTCTGACACTTTAAGAAAAAAAAGATTAGACCCCATTTACCCTTCCCCCAGTAAATTTGTAATAATAAAGGGTGGGATGTAACATCCAGTTGCCTAATGTTACCAAGGAAATATGAGGAAGAAATGGGAATTCTCAGGCTATTGATTGGTGTGACTAAATTTGTACAGTCTTTTTGGAGGGCAGTTTGTTAAAATGTATCAAAAGGCTTAAAGATACTTAGACCATTTGTGCTGGTTACTCCTAGGAATTTATCTTTAAAAAATTATCAGAGATACAAAGAATTATGTATACGGAAGGATGTCTAATATACCATTAGTTATAATAGTAAATATTCAGAACAATCTGAATATCCAACAGTTGGAGGTAAATTACGGCCTACCTCTAATTGGATTGTGGAGCAGCTGAGGATCATGTTTTCACATAATATTTAAAGTCCTAAAGAAATGGCTGCTCTATAATATGAAAGGAAAAAAGAATATGTGCACACATTTTCCATTGCTAATTTTGTTTTAAAGTTCTACATTAATGTACAAAAAGACCAGAAATGGATATATAACCTTTTGTTACTGTATTTGGGGTTGGGTCACTGAATCATTTTAATTTTCTATTTTTCTGTGTCTTCACATTTTTCTACAATGAATATAATCAAATAATAAAGTTGTCTTAAAAATAAAAAGATCCAGTTCTTGAAAACATAACTGATGTGAAGCGCAAAGTTTAAGATGGTAATTCTAAGAGGAGTTCTGTTTGGGTTCCGTCTTCATTGTATTAAAAAAGAGGATCATTAATAACTGTACAGTGAGAACAATACTTGGGCCTGCAACAACTTGAGAATAACTGGGTGTTTAATCCTCAGAGAGTCTGAAACTCTGTAAGAGACTACAGACACACCTGTTAGTGTGTCAGGTATTTTTAAAATTAATATTTGACCTTTGTTTCTACTTTTTATGAGTTGATGAATTATTTCACATGAGTCAATGGTTTGGAATTTTTCATAAAACAGAAGCTTGCTTCTTTCTCTGCTTTTTGTTGTTCATTTTATAGGAATGTGTTTTGTTTTCTCTCGCAGGGAGATCCTTTTTCTCCCCTCAGAGATACTACTATTCACTGTGGTCTGTTACTGGGTCCTTTAGTCATGTAGCTTGTCTTTAAAGAATCTGTAAAGTCTGTGTTTGTGTCTAGGAGACTGTCTTCAAGATAATAAGCTGCTAATTGTAAACAACAAAATAAACCGGTTATCGCCCCCCCAGCATTAATATTGAGCTGTTTGGGTTATGTGGGATTATGACTCTCGAATTCCCCAGTGCAGGGATCCAACCCTGGCTGCACGTTAGAGATACACAGATGATATAATGAATCTGAACCCAGAGCTCCCTGTCTCTGTAAGCCCTGATCCACTACTCCGTAATACTATATATACCTTCTTTCCTTCGTTCTTAGTACCTGAGGATGTCAAGGCAAAAACGTGGGCATTTTTTTGCTGCCTTCAAAAAGTACAGTTCTCCCCCAGTGGCATTCAGGGGTGTCTCTTGATTCAGTAGCCTTTTCTAGCAACCTCATTTTCAGATTTCTCACGTGGAATATACTTCTCTTCTATTGTTGTTACCCGTCAGCCACTCCTTATACAAAGCCAATATATTCTTCCGGATACCTCATTCTTGAGGACTTTGCTGACCATTTCTTCCTGGATTGCTTTTTGCTTACATCATCTTTCACTTTTTTTTTTTAAGCTATAAAATTGAGTAAACACGGTGATCAGTTTGAGTATTTCAGAGTTAACCCAGTGGATTATGGGCATAATGGAAAAGTTGTAGCTTAGTGACAGCCCTTTGGAAGAGTGCCAAGTTACTGATAAGTGCATTTGCATCTACTTAGAAAACGTTATTGGTAATGCATTGTTTTTCATAATTTTGTGGATGAACCAGAATAGTTCATATGTAGAGTGTTAACCAAAAAAAATGGAGAAGGCTGGAATACCAGGGTTATATTTGAGATCTGAAATGTTTTGCACATTAGCCCCAGTGCATCCTGGAGTTGTTTATAATAGGCAAAAGCTTAGGAATGGCTAAAATCCTCAATGGTGGCATCTAAATAAGGTACATAAGACAAATAACTGATGCATTATCTTTATGTGCCAGTATGGAATCATGTCTGGTTAAAGTGGAAATCAGAAAAATACATGAAGTAAAATAACGCAGTTCAGGTGTGTGGATAGCATATTTATGCTTTCTGTTCATAGGAAGTTTCTGGTAAGAAGCTTAGTAATAGGGGCACCTGAGTGGCTCAGTTGGTTAAGTTGGTTAAGCATCTGCCTTCAGCTCAGGTCATGATCCCAGGGTGCTGGGATCAAGCCCAGTGTTGGGCTCCCTGCTCAGCAGGGACTCTGCTTCTCCCTCTTCCTCCGCCCCTCCCCTCCTCATTCTCTCTCTCTCAAATCTTTAAAAAAAAAAAGTTTAGTAATAATCTCTGAGGTATGAATCAAGAGACCTACTGTCTACTTCATGCCTTTCTGCACTGTTTGAGCTTTTTACCATAATCATCTACTCTCTTTAAGGAGTGGACACTAGAGGAGACCTGGCTTTGTAGCAGTTCATGTAAAATAAGAAAATCTCTCTTGATACTGAATTTGTTAAATCATGTCTGGAACACTGTGTCCTGTTCTGGGCACAACACTTTGAGGAGAACATTGACAATCTAAAGAGCACCAGTTTAGAAGGGTGTGAGCACTGGGAAGACCATGCCACATAAGTAATGGTTAAAGAAATTGAGTATCTTTAACCATTGAAGGAAAAACAACTTTAAATATTTAAAGGGCTGTCATTCAGTTAAGGACTTCCCCATCTCCCTCACTATTTGATAAACCTCCATAAAAACAGGAACTTTGTCTTTTTCACTTGAGATCCTCAGTTCCTTGTAATTAGCACAAGTTCAACGAATATTTGTGTAAATGAAAATCTAATTCTGTCTTTCCTGTGTGACTCTCACCTGTCAAAGACCTCACTTTAGTGGTTGCCCATCTCTCCATGCTCAAATTTTCCCTCATTGGATCATTTCTCCCAGCACACAAATATGCTGGTACTTCTCCCATTAAAAAAAAAATTCTTGGCCACAATTAGTGTGCTGTTTGTCTTACTGCTTTGCCTTTTATTGGGATATAGCCCCCGAAGATCTCTTCTGTCTCCCAATTCCTCTTCCTTATTTCTTCAGCTCACTCCAGTCCAGATTTTGCCAGTACCCCACTTCTAACACCACCACCACTATTCTCAACGTCACCTCCTTACTAAATCTACTAGTCAGTTCTGAGACTTAATCTTTCTTTTCCTATCAGCAGCATTTGATACATTTAATCCCTCCCTCTTCCTTGATAAATATTCTTCACTTGGCTTCCAAGGACACCACACTCAGTTTTCTTTCTACCTCAATGGTTGCTACTCAGTCTCTTCTGGTTCCTGCTCTTCTCTCAGATCTTTTAATGTTACCTGCTCCAGGGATCAACTCTTGGACTTTTCTATCTCCACTCATTCCTCAGTGACTGGTTCCAGTCCCCACCCCCACCCCCAAATCTCTCCCAGTACTCTCCCATCTCGGGCGTTGGAAGTTTCATCCTTCCAGTTCCTCAGACCGAAAACATGGAGTTATCCTTGACTCTTCAAAACCCACACACCAGGAAGATATTTATTCTACCATCCAAAATATATCCAGGAACTGGGGTACCTGGGTGGCTCAGTCAGTTAAATGTCTGCCTTCAGCTCAGGTCATGATACCAGCGTCCTGGGATCCAGCCCCACATCAGGCTCCCTGCTCAGTGGGGAAGCCTGCTTCTCCCTCTCCTGCTCCCCCTGCTTGTGCTCTCTCTGTCAAATTAAAAAAAAAAAAAAAAAAGGTTGTTTCTGCTCTGGACTTAATAAAATCTATTTTAAAAAGGAAAGAGGGGCACCTGGGTGGCTCAGTCGGTTAAGCAACTGCTTTCGGCTCGGGTCATGATCCCAGGGTCCTGGGCTCAAGCCCCACTTTGGGCTCCCTGCTCAGCGGGGAGTCTGCTTCTCCTTCTACCTCTCCCCCTGCTCATGTTCTCTCTGCCTCTCTCTCTCAAATGAATAAATAAAATCTTTAAAAAAAAATGAGCAATCAACAAAAAGTTGTTGGTTTTACCTCACTCAGTAAACTGAACACACACAGAAATTGAATAGCTGGTCATATCAATAGGATCTTGAGGAAAAGATTTTTGAAAAAAGTACAAACACCAGAATACCTAAGTGTTGTAGAATTCAGCATATAATTGAAAAAGATGTGTGCTTGAATTCATAGGTATTTTGCTGCAGAGCACATTTTTTTCCAGAATAAAAACAAAAGCATTTGATGATTTCATTTAGGGAAAATTAACAGGAAATTGTCAGTGTTTTCAAACGATGCCCTCAGCTTTATAGATGATTCAGGTTTAAGAAGTCTACACATCGGAATGTGATGATGTGTTCATTAACTGCTCTTTTTGACCTCACTTTAGTTTACAAATTCTCTCCCCGTAAGAATCAAGATTACAAGGTTAAAGCAGTAAGGAATAGGAAAGTCAATTCCAAATGTATACAAAAATACAAAGAATAGTAATGAACCTTTATTACCCGGCTTCAAGAATAATCATCTCATAGCCAATGCGCTCCTTCTATATTCCCACCCACTACACTCCTCCCATGTTATTTGAAGCATTTCACATACATCATATAATTTCATCCATGAGTATTTCTATGTTACTTCTAAAGGATAAGTATTTTTAAGGGAGCCACTATACCATTCGCACACATTTGAAAATTAAAATTTCCTTCATGGCATCAAATATGCAGTGAATATTCAAAAGTCCAAATTGATCTTGGGGCACTGGGGTGGCTCAGTCAGTTAAGCATCTGACTCTTGATTTCGGCTCAGGTCATGATCTCAGGGTCATGAGATCGAGCCCTCGACAGGCTCTGCACTGAGTGTGGAGCCTGCTTGAGATTCTCTCTCTCCATCTCCCTCTGCCCCTATCCCCCTCTCAAATAAATAAATAAATTTAAAAAATATATGTCTTAATATACACACAGAGTATTTCATAAAATTTAAGTCATTCATGGCAAATAAGTTTAGTAAACAAGAAATAGAAATTCCTTAGATTTTAGGAAGAGATCAGATATATACTGTGAAATACATATTGGATAAATGGTTAGAAACAAAGCCATAGGAAGAGAAAACAATGAGACTATATCTTAAATACCAGGCAGATTAAAAAAAAAAACTAGATAGTCCTGAAGAAAATTTAAAATATAGTCAATACAATTAAAAACTCAAAAGAGTAATTCAGAACATTAGACAGAGTTGGAGAGAAAATTGGTTAGCTGGATTATGAACTAAAACTCAGAATGTACAGAGAAATCGAGATGGCAAACATGGCAGACAGCTTGAAATGTAAAACACAGCAGAAGTCCCAACATAAATCTTACTGGAGAGAATACATGTTCCAGAAAGAAGAAATAAAGAAGATGGGTGGCATTTCTCTGACTCTCAGCATAACAGCATAAGGAACTCTGTGGACAAGCTCACCAGCAAAACCAGTGAAAATTATTTTAAAACAATCAGATAAAATCTCTGGGTA